TATCCACAAAAGTTCAATTCATATCCTAAAGGCTCAATTCATATCCTAAAAGTTCAATTCATACACAAAAATTTCAATTCATACCCTAAAAGTTCAATTCATACACAAAAATTTCAATTCATATCCTAAAGGTTCAACTCATATCCACAAAAGTTCAAGTCATATCCTAAAATTTCAATTTATAAACTAAAATTCCAATACATAAACCAAAAATTCAATTCATATCCTAAAGGTTCAACTCATATCCACAAAAGTTCAAGTCATATCCTAAAATTTCAATTTATAAACTAAAATTCCAATACATAAACCAAAATTTCAATTCATATCCTAAAGGTTCAACTCATATCCACAAAAGTTCAAGTCATATCCTAAAATTTCAATTTATAAACTAAAATTCCAATACATAAACCAAAATTTCAATTCATATCCTAAAGGTTCAACTCATATCCACAAAAGTTCAAGTCATATCCTAAAATTTCAATTTATAAACTAAAATTCCAATACATAAACCAAAATTTCAATTCATATCCTAAAGGTTCAACTCATATCCACAAAAGTTCAAGTCATATCCTAAAATTTCAATTTATAAACTAAAATTCCAATACATAAACCAAAATTTCAATTCATATCCTAAAGGTTCAACTCATATCCACAAAAGTTCAAGTCATATCCTAAAATTTCAATTTATAAACTAAAATTCCAATACATAAACCAAAATTTCAATTCATATCCTAAAGGTTCAACTCATATCCACAAAAGTTCAAGTCATATCCTAAAATTTCAATTTATAAACTAAAATTCCAATACATAAACCAAAATTTCAATTCATATCCTAAAGGTTCAACTCATATCCACAAAAGTTCAAGTCATATCCTAAAATTTCAATTTATAAACTAAAATTCCAATACATAAACCAAAATTTCAATTCATATCCTAAAGGTTCAACTCATATCCACAAAAGTTCAAGTCATATCCTAAAATTTCAATTTATAAACTAAAATTCCAATACATAAACCAAAAGTTCAATTCATATCCTAAAGGTTCAACTCATACCCACAAAAGTTCAAGTCATATCCTAAAATTTCATTTTTAAACTAAAATTTCAATACATAAACTAAAAGACTCATATCCTAAAGGTTCAATTCATATCCTAAAGGTCCAACTCATATCCACAAAAGTTCATATCCTAAAATTTCAATTTATAAACAAAATTCCAACACATAAACTAATATCCTAAAAGTTCAATTCATATCCTAAAGGTTCAACTCATATCCACAAAAGTTCAAGTCATATCCTAAGATTTCAATTTATAAACTAAAATTCCAATACATAAACTAAAAGTCCAATTAATATCCTAAAAGTTCAGTTCATATCCTAAAGGTTCAACTCATATGCACAAAAGATCAAGTCATATCCTAAAATTCCAATACATAAACTAAAAGTCCAATTAATATCCTAAAAGTTCAGTTCATATCCTAAAGGTTCAACTCATATCCACAAAAGTTCAAGTCATATCCTAAGATTTCAATTTATAAACTAAAATTCCAATACATAAACTAAAAGTCCAATTCATATCCTAAAAGTTCAATTCATATCCTAAAGGTTCAACTCATATCCACAAAAGTTCAATTCATATCCTAAAATTTTAATTTATAAACTAAAATTCCAATACATAAACCAAAAATTTCAATTCATATCCTAAAGGTTCACCTCATATCCACAAAAGTTCAAGTCATATCCTAAAACTAATTTATAAACTAAAATTCCAATACATAATCCTAAAGGTGCAACTATTAGGGTTTCTTCTCTTCAAACAATTTCTTCCCCAAATTAGTAGATAAAACTCAATATATGTTTGACTAAATGTATTAATAAGAACCCTAAAAATTGCAAATAATATATAAATTTGAATCCTAACATGGTTGAGATAACTTTGAACCCTAACATGGAGAAATTAAACCCTAACATGGAGAAATTAAATTTGAACCCTAACATGGTTGAACAAATAATATATAACTTTGAACCCTAACATGGAGAAATTATACAAAATCACTGTATTTCGAAAAAAACAAAGAAAGGAGAAAGAAACCTACCTTGGGAATGGAGGTCGCCGGCGGTGGAGCTGCTACCGTCGGTGGTCGTTGGTGGCATGGGTGGCGCCGTTGCTGCTGGGAGTC